TTTTGCCAAGTATCAGATCAATGAGAACTCGAAGAAGAGTCGCTTAAAGAGCTGTTATTATGGCCCTTTTTGATGCATCGGATCAGCCCTTCACTATTTATAAATGCACAAAACTGTTGAATGTCATATGATTAAAGCTATAAAACCACAAGTTCAACCAAGGCAACAAAGCACCAAGGTCAGCTGGGACATCAGTCAGTGTAAAGTTTGCATCATTAAAATCTAATCAGTTCTTAACTTTTTTTTTTAATTCTGAAAAAAAAAATCTACATTTTACACTCAAACCTTATTTTGTGCGAATCTGACAGCATCCAGATTTTCTCCCAGTAACATTCCGCTGCTAAACAGCACATTGATGATGGTCAAACAAATACGGGCTCACATTTCTGGCAGAGCGTTTTGTAAGGTGAACCTCGTGACCATCACAAGGTAAGATGGCTACTGAGCTCTTCAATCTCTCTCTCACCGGGCTCAGTGAGGGAGATCAGGGGATAGGATTCCCAAGGGGCCGGAGCTTGTACTAATTCGTAGGCAGGGGGCTGTGGATACCTACTATCAATGGCAGTGGTAATGCACTTGAGACAGAGATGTCTAATGCAGGGGATGCAACTCTTTTGCCAACTGAGAAACTTTTAAATGAAGTTCAATGTGTAAATTCATTTAAGACTCAAACTAAAATAAATCCAACACAGGAGTATATCGTACAGATATTGCTCTGCTCTTGACCTAGGAGAACACAAACACTCAGATGAATCTCAGTGGCCTGACATGAACCAGAAGTGATGAGGAAAACCAACGTGTTTTCCAGACTGTTCTCTGCAGCAGCTGAACCTCTGTCATATGACAGGCCAGACAGATTTCAGCCTGACACATCAGTCTGAGAGCTGCACTGTCACTTTCACAACGTGATCCTCTCTGATCAGCCAGACTTGGAGCCAAATGAGACTCTGGGAGGGTTTTTATGTAAGGCATCACGGGCCACTGGATGAGGTCGCTGTTAATCCTCCCACTGTTCCTGACACACAACAAGGTGCGGCCCTGGCCAAGATCCATACAAAGACCGGGTTTGTCCGCTGCTGAAGGGGGCCTCCCTGCGCCATCGTCTCCTCCTCTGAGAAGGCCTTGTTTTCAGGCACAGAGATGATAACTGAGATGGGAGGGAGGGAGGCAATCTGAGCTGTTATATAACCTCCAGAGAAGAGATGACCTGCGAGAGAACAGAGACCTCAGACACTGCTGTCCTCCCAACACAGGACAGCAGCTGAGAGTGAGGGCCCTCCCTCACTCTCAGTTTCATTCTGACTAAATGAGGTTGCAATCCTCAGGAGGCAGAAAAAACATAACCTCACTGGATCATGAGCCTGACCTCAGAGGCCAGAGCCAAAAAACCGCAATGTTTTTGTATCATGACATGAACTGGGAAAGTTTAACGCCAGAGAAGAAATGAATGTAGGACAATATTTCACAATAATCACTAAGTGTTTCTGAATATATCAAGTTAAGAAAACCTCCAAAAAATAAAAACACACAATATACATTTTAAAGTTAAAACTACTTAATCTCACTTCTAGTACATGCAGTTCATTTCACCACAAGCAACACCTTTCAGATTACACATTAGATCCAGTATTAAAGTACAATAAACTGACTGGTTTGCTGGTTTACCGGAAGATAAAAGACTATGTGTTCTATGTGATTTTTATGAGACAGAAGATAAAGTCCATCCATCCATGTTCTTCCGCTTATCCAAGATTGGGACGCAATGTCAGCAGTACATCCATGTTCTTCCGCTTATCCAAGATCGGGACGCAATGTCAGCAGTAAGGTAGTACAGACGTCCCTTTCCCCGGCAACGTGTTCCAGCTCCTTTGGCATGATTCCAGGTCATTCCCAGGCCAAATGAGAGCCGAGCCCCTTCCAGAAATCCGAACTCCACACCCTATCTGTAAGGCTGAGTCCAGCCACCATGCAAAGGAAACTCATTTCGGCCACTTGCATTCACAACCTTATTATTTCGGTCACTACCACAGCTTGTGACTGTAGATGATGGTTGGAGCGTAGACTGACCGGTAAAGTGAGAGCTTTGCCTTTCAGCTCAGCTCCTTCTTCACCACAACGACCTGGTACAACACCTGCATTACTGCTAATGCTGCCGCTCTCCACCTGTCAATCTCACGCTCAATTTTACCCTCACTCATGAACAAGACCCCGAGATACTTGATCTCCTTCACCTGGGGCAGTCACTCCTAACCCGGAGGGAGCAGTCCACTGTTTTCTGGCAGAGCACCGCTTTTCTGTAAAATACCTTAAAAATCGGATGAATTTTTTGGATAGATAATAAACTTGACTTGTGTTTTAGGAAGGGAACCTTTTATGTGCTGGGGGTTATCTGTAGTGCAAATGACAGAAGACAGGATTTCTTGCATGTTATTTGATACAAAGATGATATGCTTCAGGTAAGGTTTGGTAAAGACCATGTGGGCTGGGCATGTATGGTGCATGACACAAATAAACATTTGAACTCGAACTAGAGCCAAACAGATAGTACAACTTTGAAGAAAAAAGAGAAAAATAACACATTTGTGGAGCATCTGTTATTGTAACTCCTCGCCACTGGCTTAGCTAATCGACACTTAGCCATTATCTCTGTCTCCCAGAAGTGTTTGTGTGGCAAACACTCCCAATCTGCTCCTTCCTCACTGATGAAAGGTAAGAAAATGGAAACATCCACTGGCAAGAAACCTGATCACAATCTGTCAGTGTGTTTACTTTTCCTTCTCCAAGACCCCCACACACTCTGTGAAGAGGACGGTGCTACGTGAAAACGCAGAGGATGGTCTGCTCATAGTGAGGTCACAGAGGAAACGTTCTCCCACGTACACATCAGTCAGCACAGGGATCTAAAGTTTAACAGGAACATTTGAACATGATGTACAAACTGGGTAAGGAAAAGTCCCAATACTAGGAAAAACAGGGGTTGATCTGGACTTTTTTCTCTTAATCAGCTCCCTGAGATGAGTGAAGAGCTGGAAGTGTGGCATCCTTTACTTAAGACCAGACTTGGACCATCCTTTCATCTGAGAAATGGCTAAGCACAGCGCAGCGATTCTCTGCCAACAAAACACTTAACTTGTGAACAACATAATGCCACACACTGCTTTACAAGTACAGGTTCATTTAGTAGGTCAGAGTGAATAAGAGAGAGTAACAGGAGAAAGCAGTAGGGCAGCATTGTGCTTCGGGGTGGGTTTAAATACAAGGAGAATTAACAATGTACCAAATGTGATAGTAAGTTTTCTGCTCACTTATTCAGAACTCGAGAGCATCCAACCTCTCTTTTGACTCTTGTATACCTGTCAGAGATTGCTCTGACAACAACAGACAAGCTGTGTTGTCATTCTGAATGAATGAGGCTGAAACATAATGCAAAAGCATAAACTGTAACAGTGGAATAATTGTTCTACAGGTTTTCAAGTCATGCTTCGACCTGGCACCTCTTCTAGCAGGTTTTTTTACATGCTTACTGAGATTACGGAGGTCAAACAGCCTCCACACACTCACTGTTCTCACTGTTGCCCACTTGTTTAACAAGTGGAGAACATTAGAACAGAAATCGGACGCGACTCTAAAGGCTGTATAATCTAATCAAAGACAAGGCAGGGAAAAGAAAGTTGAAAGCTGTTGATGTTATCGACATCAAGGGACAAAGATCTGGAGTTATGTGATGTGAAAACGGAGATGAGAAGTCCAGAGACCAAAGTCATCTTCACCACGTCCCAGTGTCACTCAGCCAGAAACAACAAGTTAACAGCAGAGAAAAAAGCAGCTGAGTAAAAATTTCATACAGGAAAGTTTTAATATGCAAGATGGTTTGACCAGTGTGAGCTGGCCTGAGAGGTTCTGTTGTGTTTAGCCCGGTAGTCCAGTAAGGTGTCAGTGCTGATACACAGAGTGTCCACTTAACATAGCAACACCCTGCCTTTAAATGTGATTCAGAGAAAACCAGTCTTTGTTAATCAGCCGGTACTGAGCTGCAAAAACCGGAGGTGGTGACATGAAAACCTGGAACACTTCAGTGCAGCAAAGCACTAAGAGCTTTAAAGCCCCAGTGAAATATAGGTTTTATACAAAATTTTACAAACATTCAACACAAAGCCTTTAGTCTGTGTTGGACTTTTACAGCACCAAACTAATCCAAACCATCCACCAAAAACAACACAGTACCAACAAGTTTAAGACTAGAGCTCCAATGATCAATTGATTATTCAGTTGGTCAAAATTAGAAAATTAATCAGCAACCACTCTGAGAACTGGTTCAACATTTCAGCCCCTTTTCAAGCAAAAACGTCATATGGAGAATTTGCTAATATTCTATGTCATATATGATGATCAACAGAGTCAAATGCTTTGGATAGAGATGGATCAACATATTCCAGGTTATGAAATAAGTTTTATACTTAAATAGCTACAGACAAATCAAGGAACCTTGGGCTCTGGTGAGTGTGAATAATGTTTTTCACTGCTCACTGAAAATATCACAGATTAACAAATAACACCTTCATTAACCAACATATTAATCAATAAGTAAAACTGTGGTTGGTTACCACCCAAAAGTGAGAGATTTAAAACCCTAATTAAATAGCTATGCCTGTATAGTAAATTTTACAAAGATCCGACAGCAAAGCAATGAGCCTGTTTCAGACAGGCCAACCATAAAAAAACAAGAAATCCTATAAAGTCACTAACAATCAAACTAACTGTTAAAGTCATACAGACGAATTGAAAAAAATCCATTAAGTAAAAAAAATGAATTAACTGACTACATAACCGAATAAATGGAATTAAAGCTCTTTCATAAGTTCTGGGGTGCCTTTAATAGAGAAAAGCACGTCTACAGTCTATTAAATTACGACACAAAGATTTTAAAATACCTCTTAAAGTAATTTTGTATGTGTGTATTGATGTTTAAGGATGTCGTGGTGTGATTTCACCAGTTATACCTGGACGAAGTAGCGACAAAGTCTCCATCCAGCAGCCTGAGTTTGCAGAACAAAACACCGTTGACGAACGGCACGGCGCTCAGCTCCTCCAGGGTCAGATGGGTCTGAAACTTGAATTTCTTCTTTTTCACGAAGAACGCCATGGCTTTGGTGTCTTCACTCGCATAAAACGCGATTAACAAAAAATGGAAAACCTGTATTAAACCTAGCTAAACTAAAAGAAATGTCCCTCCTGTTGATGTTTTTAGTCTGTGTTGTCAAGCGAACTCTGCTTCTTCAGAGATGATTCAGCACAGAAATCTGAAAACAGGTCATTTGTATCGGTTAATAGCGTGTAAAATATAAACAACGTTGTAAAATTTGTGGTTTCAAGGAAAAAAATACCTGCCTGGAGACATTTCTGGTCTTCTGCGTTTCGACAGTAGCAGCTCAGCAACATTAAATGAAAGAGACGTCTTCCCTTTTTCTTTCAGGGCTGAGAAGAGAAACTTTGGAAAGGCAGCGTCAAGCTAGCAGAGAGTACGTCATTTGATTTCCGGACGTACTTTTCATAATAAAAGCTCAAACTAAACGTGAACGGCAAGGGAAACTGACTTCACATATTCGTTAAGTTAAGAATTAAGAACAACTTAAAATGCTCTTAAATTTAAGGGTGCTCCAGCCGTCTATCAAACTGGTTAACAGAAGATCTTGATTAGCCTACTACAGTACAGACCCCAGCACACTTGATTTTTGTCTGATCATAATAGCTAATCATAGGAATACCTTGGCTGAGGTAATATAATTATGTATATAGTTTTATATTAGCATTTGAAAATTTGATAAGAGATTACACAATTTTGACCAGAATAAATCTGGAATTAATTTTATTTGCAATTAGGCCTACTGTCTAAGTAATTTGCTGCCTTTCCTTGTCAGTGTGGTACTAAATTCACACCATAGACTAAATCATTAGTTAGACAACACTAGCTAGAAGTGGACCGAGGTATGTCATAGGTGTCAAAGCTATCAGAGAAATAGCCATAATGTCGAATTTGTATACATAATTGAACATTTAAATGTAGGCCTACAACAATTAGCTACAAATTATGTTGAGTAATAGGGCCTGCGTTTATGTACTTTACTGTAATCACATAACATCGGATCATTTCCTTCCTCACTCTTGTTAACTTGACCAGCTCCTTGTAGCCCGTTCACCGCCAGTCATGCTGCAGCGTCAGTGAAACAGCGCCACCGTGTGGCTGCTGTCTGTGGCGCTGCTGGAATTCATTGAACTTCAC